GAGTCCGTAAAGCGCTTTTGCAATTCCACTAACGAAGGTGTCGGTCTCTCCCACAACTCCGAGAACACAATGAGGTTGTACAGCATCTCGGAGCTCTTTTCGCTTGGATCTGGATCGAAGTGACCAATATCGATCAAATTGTTAATGAAGCTCGTCAAGACGTCTACATCATGGGGTTGACAGCGCTTGAGGCGGTACACAAGTTGAGGAATTGTCATGTACATCGCTGGGATTGTCAGCAAAGATGAAACAAGTCTTCGCAATTTGTACGAGGCTGGCCACTTTAGATTATTTATATTCATGGTGTTCATCATTTGAAAGCACGCCGAGTCAACGTGGTTGTCGAGATCGGTCAAAATATTTTGATATGCAGCAATTAGCGTGTCGGGGGCTTTGAAATAGGAGCTACAGACACGGTCGTGATTGCAACGCTCCATTAAAGTTCTCGCCACTTCGTCAACGTTAAGGTCATATTCCATATTATAATTGTATAATCCCGTGGTACTCATTGGCGAATCCAGGACGTAACCAGTAACTTCAGGAGGGTCGAGATGCATAAGACGTTCCACTAGTAGCGCTGTGTAAGCTGTACCATAGACAAAAGTGTTGCCACCATTTGAAAGTTTTGAAATTAAGTTGTAAAGGTCGTGCGCCGCACTTGTTGGCGAAAATGCTGCGAGATCACCAAACTTGGATTCTAGATCGACGGCACATGACTTAGCTTGGGCAGGGTTCATTGAATATCAAATTCTGGATCGCTTGTTGTCATCCCACAATCCAAAATCGTGCTCTTACCGCTTCCACGAGTATCCATGAGGTAAATGTTCGCAACATTACTTAATTCGAAATTAAGCAAGTACGCAGAAAATTCCACTACGTATAAACAATGTCCTAAAGGTTAGTAGTGATGCTATCAATTCATTTAAGAAATTACTTACTGGTTTTGAAGCTTGTTCCCTAAATCCATATATTATAAGCAGTCTCGGGGTTATTGGAAGGAAATCGTTTTACAAAGATTTCGATAGTCTGGTTAACACTCTTGGGCGCTGTACAAACGTCAGAGTAGCACAAAGGTGCCGAAAACTTGCTGCATTCCACTGTCAGTGCTGCAGTTTCGTTGTCAAGATCCATAGTACTGGTGAACAGGGGGCAGGGATACCATTTGGACACCTCATGTTTTTTGGAAGCGGAGGCCTGTACAACGCAAATTGCGACAAAGGCTCCAAATTTGAACTTCATTTCGATTGGTATCACGACTTGTTAGACGAAGTAAATTGCGGAATGATGACCTGTGATCATAAAGTCTGTTGACCTTCATAGAGCTCGCTAGACAAGTTTGAATCACCAAGCCGCGAAATCTGCTATTATAAGCTAACTGATTGTTATAAATGGCCCTGAATACACAAGCTCTGTAGGAATATTGTCAATAATGCTTTACGTCGTATCCAGATGGATAAAATAGAGATTTCATTAGATAAAGCCTGATGGATGTCACTGGTAAAGGCATCACTCAATCAAACAGAGAGCTTCTACGGAAGTATCATGTCGAGAATGTCGATGATACAATATGCGATGGTGTTGCTGTGAACCTTGAGCTAGTTCACTTAAACAAATGCGTCTGCATGTTTCTATCTAGCTTAACTGCTGTGAGTATCTTATCGAAATTTCCTTAGTATTATCTATTTCCTAAAATTCTTAACTATCTACAATACTAAACCTTTCTAGAAATTTGCACACTATGACATTGTAAAGGGGCCCCGTAAATTCTGCATCTGTTCTGTATCACCATCCCTCCATCAACAATAATACCGGATCATTTGTAACGGGGATACACATACCCCAGGAACAGGTGTGTGTGTCACACCAGATGGGCATGGCGGTACAGCCAATAGTTATACATGTATTGAGTTTTTACTATACATATTTAGGAAAATCTATGCATTTCAATTAGGCGGCAATTGTCAAAGATAAAAATATATAGAGTCACAAAACACCGTCGTGTGTTTGTGTGCTGCCCGGCAGCTCGGAGCTCTACTCCCTTGTCCCCAGCATAGTGTTGGAGTGTGCATTCCAAGCAAGTCGTGTCGACTTGAAATTGAATTCGGCATTCAGTGCCACATTCACTGCCTCTTCAAATGTAGATGGATACACACGGAAGGCATTCATTCTGGCCACGCCAGTGCGGAGGCCTTCCATAAAGACGGTCACTGTGACCGCCTCAGGAAGGAAATCTGCTGCCATCACGGCAATAAGAGTACGCATTTCTTGGACAAAGTCCACCAATTTG